AAAAAAGAAACACTCTGGTGTTTCTCTAAAATGATACTAAGTCCGGAAATAAAACTGATATACTTTAACTGGACTGGTTTGGCTCAGAAAAATACTTAAATTTTGGAATCAAACTCAAACCGAAATACTCGAACCAAAAATAACTTGAACGACTATCCGGTCTTACTTAATCTTACCGGAACATTATCTAATTACTCAACTTATATCTATGACTATATCTCAAGGATTTTTATCCAAGTCAAATTTCATAATTTAATTCAATTTAAATTGAATTAAAATAAATTCTCTAATCTCTATGATTTTTTATTTTTTTTTTAAACTTAATCACTTAAAAAAATTCAAAACTAACACTTTAACATAAATATGAATTTATTTAACCTCATGATAAATTGTAATATATCATATGATACTAGGAAAATTAAGAAAAGCAAGCTAACCTTCTCGGAATAAGGTAAATGGCGCTAGGGCCTTTACTAGGCTTACTCGCGTCTTCTCGGTGTCCCGGCTATAAACGATGAACTCACTACACTCTTTAGACTACTACAAATTCTATAAAGTCGACTTGGTATGAATAAATTTAATTAGGATGGTTGTAGTTCAAAATTCTCTTCTTCTCGACAACATGCCCGTACAAGGCTTTTCTCAACTTTCCTCTATTCTTCTCCCAATATTTTCTAAGTATGGGACATCTTATATGGATTTCCAATGACAAAACAATCACTTGCACAAGTTACAAATGAACATGTCAATTCGGAATTAATTAATGGAATTAAAGCTTGATAAAAAAAATATGGCGTAATTAAATACTTAATGCATGATTAAGTGGCAACTCATGACATTAGCTTTGATTTTATTTGTCCACGGCACTTTTTCAATGTTTACACGGCTTTGACTTCTCAATAAACATCACTTTCTAGTTATCAAAACTTAATCTATAGCTTACTCATCATATTAAGATAAACTTAATCAATCGTTTTGGACTTATGTATGAAAATAAAATAATATCATCTCTAAATCAATACTATGATATTAATAAGTCATTTTCTTATGAGAAATGGAATTACTTAACATATCATAAGGACATATGTCTTTAACACATGATTAAGTGTAAATTGATTACGCTTAATCATGACTTATATGTCCATCTCTTAAGATAGCAGCCATGTAAGATTTGACATCTCAAAATAAGATGAAAATAAATTGGATAAAAAAAATGCGCACTTGATCTTAATTAAAAAATTTTGGGATCATCATTAATATAGTTAGATATGGAAATTGCAAGCTGGCGCAAGACGATTAATTTAAACCAAGCTTCTCCCTTTATTTAACCGAAATGGAAACAACTTATTAGCTCAAATTACTTGAGTTATGTTGACCTAAATTACTAAGAAAATATTTATAACACTCAATTTATTCGAACCGAACTTGTTCGATTTTTCTCGCGACTCGACTTTGACGATTAATCAACATATTCTCGACTTCGACTATCTCGTCGACTTGAAATAATTAATCTCGACTAATAATGTCCGTTTCTAAAATAAACGAACCGGAATTAATTAATGAACTGGCTCGGAACTAATAAAGAGTATTATTAATAAAAGTAAATTGGTTCAAACTCAGAACTAACACTTTTACTTTTATTAATAACTGAATGGGATGTTACAGCGTCAAGTCGCTGACACCCGGCTTGGATGGTAAAAAAAAAAGGTAAGGCACCTGGATTTATTGATAACAACAATGGCAGGGTGAATACGTACGATATCGAAGTGACTCGCCCCTATTGATGATGGCTGCTTCCAAGCCCACCTCCTGGTTGTCATCGCTCGATCACTTCCTTTTCCACTAAGTGATTGCTTAGAAGCCACAAAACAAAAGAGAAGAATCAGCAAAACTAGGATCAATGTAATTGAGAAGGAAAGACCTACATCAAATCTGGAACAGAAGCTAGAATTTACCAATGGCACTAGTCCCGATGACTTGCGGTTTCAGTAAAGACTCAAAGTCCAGACTGGAATCGAACTGCACAGACCAAGGCGGAATATCCCGAATATCAGAAAGAAATTCCAAGTAGCCCGTCATATGATGTGAAGCACCACTATCATACATCCACTCATAAGGGTTAGGCAACACTAGGGCGCCTGGGTCAAAATTCCGTTTACCAAACAAGATGTCGAGAGGCGAAATCTGAGATACGTTTTCATTTCCCTAGGATCGAGCGAGACTCGTCTAAGGGTGAAACCTGTGACAGCGGATGCTGACGATACTGAATGGATAAAAGATTTGTAGACATTTCCAAAAAAACCCCTGGGAACAATGAAAAAAAAAAAGGATATCTCGGTAACAAAAACTATAGCATTATGCCCTTCTCGACTAGCTCGCGGTTTCACTTTCTTTCCATAGGCCTCAGTCAACAAAGAACGATTAGACAGCTATGGCTAAATCGAGTGACTCCGAAATCCAAGTGCTAAATAACCATTGCTAGTTCAGATTATCTCCCCGTTCAACATCCGAAAGTAGATGCCAATACACACGCCATTTCAAACCAATATACAGCTGCTTATAGGCCAAGACGAGATTTTCAAGAGTAGGACTTGTGTACAGAATTTTCAACAAAGGCTCTGTTAAGACCAACCTTGTATTTAGCCTTTAAGCATTGAAATTCTGTTTCTTCTTACCTACATTCGGGCAACAAGCAAGCTATACTATTTAAAGTGACCCAAGCATACTCTAATGATACAACGTTATAGATTTATACATAACATTTTACTTGGATAATACTTAATTACTCATAGTTAGTAATATTTGTAAAGATGTAAATACACAGAATAAACTATACACTTATAAACTTATTTAACTAATTTATTATTATTTACAATATATATGCTAATTCTAGTAATTAGAGCTATTCTTTTTGTATAAAAACTGTAAATTGGTCATATTTATATGTGAGATGGTCATACTTATAAAGATATATAATACATAAACTAGATAAAATAGAAGTAACAACAAGTTAAGTCCTAAATTATATGAATATACTCCATCTTCATTCTCCAATATCTATAAAAATTTTAAAATATTTTATTTACTAAATTATTATTTTTAGAAGATATATTTTTCATATATTTATTTGCATCTATAGTTATTAGGTGTGCGGATAATCGGACGGGTAATAAGACAGGTCGGGTAAAAAAAACCCCACCGAGTAAACGGGTTGAGCATTGATTTTCTTTATTAAACCGATACCCGACCCGACTTGTTCCGCGGGTATGAAAAAAACCCGAGTACGACACATGACCCGGTATTTTCGGGTCTACCCGACTCGATTTTCCGGGTTACTCGCAGGTAACCCGACCCAGTGGGCTTTTCTGACAACCCTACTAGTTGATGCGGTCATACATTGCTTAACTGGGCTTGCTTGTGAGTTGCGAATGTAAAATCTATACACGAGTGAATCATGAAATTGTTTGAACCATTTTTTGCATAGAAACTCAAAGCAAACAAAACCCCTGGAATAGTTGGGTACGGTATACTCGGCCAATACAATTTAAAATACTTCTCCCTCCTCTTACACTACTGAAAATGTTGTGATTTAAAGAATAACAATTACACGAATACAACAAGATTGACGTCGTCAAAAGGCATAATAGACATATAGCAGCTCTATTTCTTCTCTATTGGACCCACAAAATTCTTAGAAGCTTAAAGTTGCACTCTTCTCATTTATCTTTTATGTCAGAAGCCAAACAAACCTATCTGAATGATTAGCTTTATGAAGCCTCGCTGAATAATTGACCTACACTAAACTCCGAGTCAAAAAATCATTAACTGCAAGACTTGCATCTCCATGCGACACAGCATCTTCAGGCTCTGGCATAAAAAGAGTTGATGCAGAGGCCTACATGCACAAAGCAATACATTAAAGGTGGGAGAAAATCAACTTAGAAACCACTAAATGAGCTCATTCAAATATCATGCATAAACATTTGAAACTTTATTTCTTTATCACCAAACAGTAACACAAAAGGTGGATTAAAACCATCCAGATAAAAGCATAACCACTCAAAAGTAGTACGGCATATATGTGCCATAGGGTTTCAAGAGTTTTGACAAGACATTAAGCTACAAATGACATGCCCTTTCCTGGGAAAACTAAATATTTGCTCTTGTGGAACGCATTCTGCCTTATCCTATTGACTTAAGGTTTGCTGAAGAACATTCCAGATGCTAGTAAAAAAACCAAAGAGCCAAAGGTTAACATAGTATGTTTAGTATTACTAAAGATATTTAATTGAAACAACTTTGACGCTTAGCTTAGTTACAAAATATATAGATATATGTTAAAATTACAGTATCCCCCAACAGCACTACTTAAAAGTTGGTATTTGTACCACAAATTACCCAACAACAAGGTGCCATCCACAAAATAAATGTCTATGGCAAGGATATACCTATTAACTTGTAATTGTAACTGTTCATTTTATTTTTTAGTAATAAGGCTAACTTGCAAGGGTAAGATTGGTATATTGACTAAATCCTTCAGCTATAAACAGAACAGAATCACAAAAAGGCTCTGTGAAAGGATCATCAAACAGATTTCACTTCCGTCACAGAAATTACCTTTGCATCAAGTAATGTTTCTCCAGAGCTATCTACAATTACGCATGCACCATGAGCTTTTAACCAATCCAGGCACTCCTCCATCCCATCCAATTCTTTTTCTACATCTGGTTCAGTCGTAGGCAATGCATTAGTGAATCCTAGAATCTGGGAAAGATATGCCACAGGAACTGTAGGACGGTATGAACGAGCAATGCACTTCACAGCTGCATATCGCATTTTTTCAACATAAAGATCTGCAATGGAATGTGTACTTCATTTATTTGCAAGTTAATGGACTAAAAGATAGGTGGTAAAAAATAGCTTGTATAGCTCACCCATAAGGAAGGTATTAAGATTAGGCGCCATCTTATAAAGTCTAAAAAACATCACATAGTTCCCAGATGTAACAGCACTACGAACTGAAAGAGCATGCTTTATTGCTTTGTCCTTCTTAGCATCAGCTGGCAATCTGTAAAACAAAATAAGTCCAAATTACATGGATATGCACCATAGCCTCTAAAAACAACTGGCCATGTGGACAAGCAACATTTCACTACATGAAAGCTACAACATGTGTCACACAAGCAATCAGGTAAGTACAAAACCATATCAAGATTCTGAAAGTTTTCCAAAAACACAGCACAAAGTGACTGCACCCGATCTAATGTTAACCCATCCTCTTTCATCTTGAAAAACCATTGGATGGCGAAGCCTTTCACAGTATCTTAATGAATTTTGATGGCCCAACAAGATGGGAAAACAGTCTACTTAAAAGTTAATCATGTAATAAGTGGTTGCATTATTTAGATAACTTACAGAAGCCAAACAAATTAAAAGCATGCGGATCCAAGCAGTACCAAACTAAATTAATATCAACAAGTTACAACATATCCTCAAGCATATTGCTAAGTATTATTCTCCCAAATGTATGACCAATCACTGTAAAATTCATTGTTCAGAAGGAGAGCTTGCAAAAGGGAACATTATTCTCGATCATCTCCACAGATGCATTCCTCATCACTCTAGTTATTTGTAATTTAAATAATAAACATGTTCCTTGAACTCAAACTTTTGACAAAAATTTTCTTCACACAAAACTCTAGGGAGATCTAATCATATAATGGGTCCAAGAAGAAAAGTTATTTTTCTTCACACAACTAAAGGATACACCAAGTTGATATGTCATTGATCAGCAGGAATATAAACTAAAGAAAAAAATATTTAATGAAAAGATTATACATAAGGAAATAAATACAGTGTCACACCCTAGATATTCATCTCTGACATACAGCCATTCTCACAACGAATATATTGGTTTCCAAAAGCTTTCAAAATCTTATACCAGTAAACAATTTGGAGAAATCCACTGCAAGAGTTTTGAGGTCAACCCCAAAACAAGAGTAGACACTTGTTAAATGAATGTCACACACACACATACACAATTAAGAAACTCTGGAGAAAGGGTTGAATATCAGTACTCCAATCATCCTCGTGATCAGGTTATAACCAGAAAATCATGCAACACATAGATTTAACTCTTGCAAAATAATAAAAAGTCAAGACAGCCAAACTCATGATATGGTAACAGACCTGGACATTGCTGACAGAAGGTCCCTGTTATTGTTTGAGTGCATTATTACACATAGTAAATTGTATGCTGCAAATTCCATATGACATCCCATAATTCCTTCTGCATAGAGTGTTTTTAATTGTGATTGGCACTGCACAGGGGAAATGCTGTTTAGCAATAATCTATAAACTGGTCTTGTGGCATGTTCCAGCTAAGGGAAAAGAGAAGAATATTAAACAACTGCATTTCAATTAAACACAACGTAGAGCAAATTTGTGATCACTGGGGTTTCGAAAATATCCATTTCCACCACAATAGATGTTTGGTAGTAATTTAGAATTGATTTTTAGCATTGCCCACTCTATTGAACGTGAAGTTGATTTTCTTCATCATAGCACACCTTCTGGCCAACCTCCAGGATCAGGGAAGAGGTGAACTACGGGTTTTGGGCTTGGCTGGACCCCAAGCCATACTATAAGAGTTCTACATTACCTAACCCTAATTTGCAAAATCATCCCATGACAACACTCAACTCATGTCCAACACAATGGTGGTCCCAATTTCCCCGCATCACCTCTGAATTCCAGTTCTCCTTCCGTCCCCCGTCTGCAACCCACTCCGTTGTTCAAAAAAGGCATCGCCATTATTCTCATCAATAGTACAAAGATCTACGAGCAAAAGGGATTTGTTTTTTGTGTAAAGAACCGTACAGCCCGGTGCATGTCTGCCCCAATGATTTGTTCAAGCCTTAATTGCTGCAGAAGATGATACTGAGGCTTTTGCTAAATGCCATGGGTTCGAATTTGATGCCAGCTATATCTTGGACTACTACATTCTTTTAGCCTTCAGGACAAGGTTTTGAATGAGGAGAGCAATGTTACAGACCATTCTATTAGATAATTTAGAATAAATTAGTAGGCTTCAGGCCATAAGGTTAAGGTGTCCACTAGTGTTACATTTTGTTAGGGTTAGTATTCTATTTAAGAGAATCATTATTCTTTTGTGAGGCTAATAGAAATAAAATTGTTTTGCAGCTTTATAGCTTGGGCGGGATTAATCCTGAGGAGAACCTAGTGTTCTTTTCTTTGTTTTTCTACATAATAATATTTAGTTCTTTTTTACTTTGACCCTTAACTCCTAACAATTGGTCCAACCTGCCGGACGAATGACAACCATAGAATCCCGAGTTGAAACTATAGAGAAGGGCCAGGAAGTGCTTGCCCATCGAGTCACTAATGTCGAGGAGGCCATAACAAAACTTACGGAGTTGGTCTCAAGATTTTTGTCAACCGAGCACAACATTCCACCCAACGAAGCCAACCAGGTCAATACTGTTGACGTAATCATGTCAACAGCTTGTCTAGTATTGATTCTACATCCCTAGTTCTCATTAAAAGAATGATGTAAAGGATCAAGAAAATGAGAAATATGTAATTTTATTGATGATAGTATAATAGGACAAACAAGAAGTATTAAAATAAGAATATACAAACTGTGACAGTTCTACTTTTCAAAAAAAATCAGTGGGTTGACTAGCATGGAGAAAAAGAAGCCTTATTAATCTTCAATGTAAATCCACAACGCATTCATGCCCATGCAAGATGTGGTAAAGTTTTAGTAACTAACCTGGTTATACTCTGGCAAGTCCCCAACTTCGATTGCCAATCTAGCATGAGTTTCGTATACCTACAATCAATGTGAAACAAGATAAAATAGATAAGGATAATAGAATTGAGTAAGACTTCAAGGAGCTTGTAATCAAGTCAAGTTCACCAACAAAAATAATGAACGTAAACTATGCAAAGAACTTTTAAAAAGAGGAAAAAAATAACACGGAAACATTAAAATGGGGAGTGAAAATGGTACGATGAATGGTGCGTTCAAACAGTAGTACCTTTACTGTAAGCTCGTTATGTATATGTTGTACAGTAAGATCTTGCCGTATTGATTTTAACTGGTCACATTTGTAAAGGTAATTCTTTGGAGAATTTTGAACCATCAGCAGTGCTTTTTCCAACACCTCTTCAGGTCTCACCTGCAAAGAGTGCCTATCTTTAGAACATCAGTTTTCAAAAAGATTCCTCTGTGTAACAACTCAAAGAAAACGATGAAGTTCACCGTAGCAGGATCAGGTGCAGAAGTAAGCCGCAAGTAGCGTTTCTCAATTTCTTGACAAGTTCCCTTGACAGTAAGGGCATTCCAATCAATATCTTCAACAGCCCTGCTACCACTTTCCTCCAAAGTTCTGCTAAGTACCAAGGCGTTAGCTCTTCTTGAGTGCATAATACCAGTTCCAACGTCACTCACTCTAAAATTACTTTTTCCTGCCCGATTTCCATGCCCCTTGTCAAAGCGCCTTGATCGATTTTCACGTTTTTTCTTCTCTTCTGGTGAATTTGCAAGTGTAGTTGCAGCAGAATAATATTTTGTCAAACATTGTTCCTTGTCACTATCGCTAGAAGGTTCACCTGCATCATCAGTATTAAGGTCTTCACCAAGACGCAGCCTCTTAGCAGGTCTAGCAGCATTTTTGCTGAAACCTTTTTGATATGTAAAAGAAACTCTGGATCCCAAATTGCCTTTGCTCTCTGTTTTTCCACCAGAAACCTGCAAATGTACAAATGCAGCAGATCACCCGTAACATCAGGCAGCAATTAATTAAATTGATTCACAGTGCCCAAGAGATGTTAGAAAAAGAGTCAATCTGACCCCAATTTATTGATGAAAGATATTATGATTACGATTGAGCAAAATTAAGTCACCCAGGCAGTCTAAAAGTCTCTTTTATTTAATAACGAAAGAAAAGTTGCAAGTTTCAGATAGCCTCATCGCACCCAAATGATCATATGAGACATTCACTTTATATCTCATTTCTTACATAAATAGAAAACTCAAATGGATATGCTTAAGCTAGATTATTCAAGACTGGAATTAATGAAAAGAATTAACCTGATAGTTACAGCAGCTGATTTTAGTATCAAAGTTATAATTTGAATTATACAGGACCCAAAAGGCTACTCAGTACAGGTAATACCTACAGATAATGCCATTATAAGTTTATCGAACCTGTTTGTAATTCCAACTTCCATGTACTGCAGTTCCAGGGGAAATAGTAGCAGATTTGTGAACCACCTTTTCCTCCGGAACAGGCTCCCACCTACTTTTGGCTCTCCGACTAGGACTCCTACTCTTTGGCATCGCGGATGATAGCATCAGCAGTTGTGTATTACTATGGACAAAAAATAGAACATTTGTTATTGCCTCCCATTACTATACAAAGATTATATTCATTAAGTAAAAGAAACATACTCCCCAACAGAATCAGCATTTGGCATAGGGAAAAGAGGCTCCATGTCCCAATCCTTCGTGTAAAGTGTACCATCAGACGTCGTTTTAGTTATAATCTAGGCGATAAAATGAGAAATAACATGTTACGATCAAAGGAGACACAAGTATGACTTACAAAACAGTCCAAACAGAAGATGATTCAGTAAAACTGCTTCAGAAAATGATACAATTGTCTTTTCTTTGTCCATTTCTTTTGTGATAAGAAACACAAAAAAAAATATTAAAATAAAAGTACACAGTAATCTGAAACTAAACGTACAATAACTACAAAGTGAAATTAATATAGAAACATCCGTACAGAATGGAAGTTTAAAAACAGATATATGAAAAGTTTCAAACAAGACTAACCAACCAATACATGAATTATGAAAACAAATATAATGGCACGAATGGAGGAGAAAATTCGATATCCTGAGTTAGTGCCAGAGCCATTTTGAAACTCTAACACAGCATAAATGGAAAATATATTTTAAAATACTCAATTTTTTTTCTAGTAAACTGCCTTATACAATACAAAAGGTAAATTAGATAAGAAAGCCCCAACTTAAGCTTCAATAACGCCTTGGCACATTAACAAACTCAAACAGCGTAGAGAAAGAAATCCAGTATTGATCACCAAGGACTATATATAGCTTCCCCACCCTGATATTCATTTTTCTTCACTGATGTTTCCCGCAAAACACATTAAATAACACATATTCAGAGAATTACTGAAAAACATCAGGCTTAAAGACTGAAGCAGATGTGCAGCAACGGTCATGGATGGTTGAGAAGTTCTCATATTCAAACTGCACCATAAACCAGACTTGAACTTCCCAACCCAGTTTTACCACTAGAAAATAATTTACATTCATTCTTTGTATA